TCGCTAAGGAAGTTGAGCATGACCTTAAGTGTCTTTTGGCCATTTGAACTTCTTCTGTTGAGAATTCTCTGTTCAGCTCAGTGCCCCATTTTATAATTGGGTTGATTAGCCTTTTACGGTCTAGTTTCTTGAGTTCTTTATATATTTTGGAGATCAGACCTTTGTCAGTTGCGGGGTTGGTGAAGATCTCCCAGTCAGTGGGTTGCCTTTTTGTCTTAGTGACAGTGTCCTTTGCTTTACAGAAGCTTCTCAGTCTCAGGAGGTCCCATTTATTCAATGAGGCCCTTAATGTCTGTGCTGCTGGGGTTATAAAACATTTACTATTAATTAACAAATATATCTGAAACAATTCTAGGGCATACATACAATTTTACTGTTCATTAAAGACAAAGGTAAATTTGCATACTGAGATAGATGTGCTTTTTTTTACACACACACAAAAATAAACCTTTTCTGAATGTTTGATACTGCAACATATAAGGCATCTTCAATGTTGTTAAGAGCTGACTGGTATTTTGATTTTATAACTGTCAATACTGAGAACCCCGCTTCATGTAACATGCAATACAAAATGGTGAAAGTATGGTTAGAGACATTTCAAAAATTGTTGGAAATTCTGTCCTATTTCCAAGCCAAAATTCATCTAATGATTTTTTAGGACACTCAAGTCAGCAACTCAAGGCAATTTTTTTCATTTTTAATTTTTTTAATTTGGGGGGGGGGGGGTGAGTCAGGATCTATGTAACTCTAGCTGCCCTGGAACTTTCTATATGGACCAGGCTAGCCTCGAACTCACAGAGAACCACCTGAAATGGCAACATTTTTAAAGAAAACATTCTAATACAATGCGATGTAATGGCATGCTAATTTAATACTTACATGACAGGAGGGAAGTACTAAAGTTTTTATTTTCTGTACTTAAACCATTCGGTTTACAAAAGAAAAAATATATGTACAACAGAAACCTTGCATTTCACAGCACATGGCCATCTCGAGTCTGAGCTAGGGTATTTCAGAGAGCATTTGTTGTCATTGGGTTGTATGGTGGCATGTCATTGCTCAGAACCACGGCTTCGGTAATATTGTGCGTATGATGCAACCTGAGCAACTGCTGCCAGAAACATGTGAGAGTCGTCATACCTTGATTTTAAATTAATTTTGGGTCATTACACACCCAGAAATTTGTAAACTTCCTCGAAACCCTCACATTCAGCTACGCAGGCCCATGGGGAGTTACAACCCATAGTTTAACGAGCTATGTTCTAGTTGTGTCCTCCCCCCCCTTTGGCTATCCTTAACTGCCTGTTCTGTCTCCTCCTTGATCATTCACTGTTTCTCTGTGTTAGCTATATGTCTCTTTTAAAAATAATTGACTTATTTTTATTTCATGTGCATTCATGTTTTGTCTGTGGGGGGTATCAGATCCCGTGAAACTGGCATTGCAGGTAGTTGTGAGCTGCCATGGGGGTGCTGGGAATTGAACGGGGCTCCTCTGGAAGAGCAGCCAGTGCTCATAACCACTGAGCCCTCTCTCCAGCCCCTCTATATGCCTCTTTAAGTCACTCTTTCTCCCCTCTCTTTCTCCATTTCTATCTCTTCCCCTGTCCTTGTTTCTGGCTTTCTGTCTTTCCTTCTGTGTCACCATCTTCCTGTCACAAATATGTCTCTCTTTCTCTGTCATCCCCTGTGTATCTGACTCTTACACTTTTTCCGTCTCTATGGCTAATCTTTACCCTCTGACTCCCCTTAAGGCAATGGTGTGTGCGCGTGTGCGTGTGTGTGTTTGTGTTTGTGTGTGCCTTTGAACATACACGGCGGAGGGCTGTTTGCGTTCTGGGAAGGGTAGAAGACATCAGACCTTGAGGAACTGAAGGAGACCAGATGTTCTGCATTTCTCTCCAACCCCTGCCCTAACTCCCTCTCATTTCAGTAGGCCATTGGCTATGAGACTTCTTAGTGCTGTCAAAAAATGACTGCTTTTAGGTGACAGAACAGACTGTTTTGACCTAGAAAACAACACAAACGGGACAACTTCACTAGGAAGGAGTTGGTAATCCTGAACCTCTCCTGCTTCCGCTTCTTCTTTTTTTTATAATTATTTATTTATTATGTATACAATAGTCTGTGTGTATGCCTGCAGGCCAGAAGAGGGCGCCAGACCTCATTACAGATGGTTGTGAGCCACCATGTGGTTGCTGGGAATTGAACTCAGGACCTTTGGAAGAGCAGACAATGCTCTTAACCACTGAGCCATCTCTCCAGCCCCTCTTCTTCTTCTTTTTTTAATGGAGGCTTTTTAAATTCCCTTTTTTTAAAGATTTATTTATTTATTATTTATACAACATTCTGCCTCCATGTGTGCCTGCACGCCAGAAGAGGGTGCCAGATCTCATTACAGATGGTTGTGAGCCACCATGTGGTTGCTGGGAATTGAACTCAGGACCTCTGGACTAACAGCCAGTGCTCTTAACCTCTGAGCCATCTCTCCAGCCCCCCTGCTTCCGCTTCATATGAGTCAGCCCAGCTGCCCTCCCTCTGGGAAATGCTGTCATTTTGTCATGACCCCACATGACAATGCACACACAGGCACTCTCCAACTCCCCAGGCTGTGCTTTCAGCAAATCCAGTGTGAAAAATTCCACGGAGCCCTTGGTATCTTTTCCCCAGGAACCTACTGTGTGCTGTGTGCACACTACTGATCTTTTAGAGGAGAGGGAGCCTACCCTGCCCTTATAGGGCTTCTGTTCTGATAGGATGAGACAGGTCATAATCTAAATTTCAAGAGTAAATGATAGAGATAAAAGAGAGAGATTCCGGCGAAAACAGAAAGGGGCTTGGGGATGCTCTGACCACTTACTTGGATTACTACTGAAGTCTCACTAATCACCCTACTCTTTTTTTTTTCAATTTTATTATTAATGTATACGGTGTTCTGCCTGCATGTATGCCTGCACAGCAGAAGAGGGCACCAGATTTCATCATAGATGGTTGTGAACCGCTATGTGGTTGCTGGCAATTGAACCCAAGACCTCTGGAAGAGCAGCTAGTGCTCTTAACCTCTGAACCTTCTCTCCAGCCCAATCACCCTACTCTTTCCCACCTTCATGGAACATGCCCTGTTCTCACAGCAACAAGTAGAATCACATTCATCCCTGAACGTGAATCACATCTTACCTCTGTTCAAAACCCTCCCAAGCAATTCTGAATCAAAGACCTCACTATGACCTCTATGATATGTCCTAGCTGATGCTCTAAGTTCACCTCCCAATGCTTGCCCTGTGCTCAGTATCCCCTCACCATGACTCCCGTGCTCCTTCTCAGTGTGCCACAAGTAGCTCCATCTCAGAGCCTTTGTTCTGACTGTCTGCCTAGAGTTCTCCACTCCGAAACAGTCACAGGGCTTACATCCTCGCCTGTTTGCTTAGATGACTTCTCCATGAAGCCCTCCCCATCCCGCTCATCAAAAACTGCAATACGCCCCTCACCTCTGACACTTTAAATCCTCCTCCCCTACTTCATGATTAGATTTTAGATTATTGTCATCATTTGCTATACTAACTTCACCCATCTCATCTTATTACCTAATTTGTCAATTACACAAAACTAGGAATCTTTATCCCTCCCTTCCTTCCTTCCTTTCTTTCTTTTTTTCTTTCTTTCTTTCTTTGTTGTTTATTTGTTTTCTGAGACAGGGTTTCTCTGTGTATCCCTGGCTGCCCTGGAACTAGCTCTGTAGACCAGGCTGACCTCGAACTCACAGAGATCTACCTGCCTCTGCCTCCCAAGTACTAGAGTGGGAATTTTATCTGTCTGATTCACAACTGCATCCTTGGTGAATGACCCAAGGTAAAGAAATATTTTTTTCAATGAGCCAACACAAAAAGCATACTTACATTTGTGTAGTCATATACAATCCTACATTCACACAAAACAAAAACCAGAGGCTTTCTCATAATCCACAGCCCTACATTTGGTCTTCTGTGACTTCATCTCTCACTATTGTGTCTCCAAAATACACCATTTACCATCAGTCTTCTCACTTCTCACGCTCGTAGACATGCTACGCACATTCCTGACCACAAATAAAGATATTTTGCTGGGCATCGTGGCATAGAGCTGTAATCCTGGCACATGGGAGTCTGAGGCAGGATGATCCCAAGTTCAAGGCCTGCCTGGGCTGGGGAAAATGTTCATAGCCAGCCTGGTCAACGTCACAAGACCCTATTACAAAATTAAAAGTTTAAATAGTAACTTTTTAAAAGGGTGTAGGGATATAGCTCATTGGCAGACCTCTTGTCTACCAGGCCTGAGGCTGTAAATTCAATCTCCAAACAGTACAGTGAGAAGAAAAGCCAGAGAGAAGAAGAAACAAAGTACGAGGTGGAGGGGGTGGAAGAGAGCAAAAGGTGGGAAGAAATCTAATGAGTGGCTGGCTGTCAATAGTTTAACAAAATAAAACATGAAAAACAACAGAAATGAATAAGTATATTACAATTAGGATTAGTACTGAGTACAACTTTTAGTTGAGGTGTGTGTGTGTGTGTGTGTGTGTGTGTGTGTGTGTGTGTGCACCTATGTGTACTGGTTTATGGGTAGTAGTAAAAAAATCAATGCTTGAATACAGCTTTATGGCTTGTAAAAGGAAAGGAGAGCTGGAAAATATCCGCAGCCCTGCAGACCCACCAGTGGAGAAAGAAAGAGGTGCCTGAGGACATTAGGAGACAAAGCACTTATGTCCAGCAAGGAGGGGTAGGAGCAGGAATATCTGTGGAGTTGGCGGGAAGGGCTCATAGACACACTAACCTGCCCTCTCTGTCTCTTTTTCACCTGTTTCTCCAACCTCCCCATTCCATTCCTTCCATTTCTATGTTGTTTTCTATCCATTTATATTCTTGCCTCCATTTTTTTAACCTCATTATTTACCTCTCTCGTCTCCTCATTTTTCTGTCTTCTACCTCCATCTCTCTGTCTCTATCTCCCTCCACTGTCCCCATTTGCAGGTGTAACTCAGCAAGACAACTGATGGAGTCCCCCAGGGCACATCAGATACCGGACTGGCCGACCCCCTAGGGTTGGGGTAGCCCTTGCCCCTCAGTATGGCCAACACCACCGGAGAGCCTGAGGAGGTGAGCGGCGCACTGTCCCTGCCATCAGCATCGGCTTACGTGAAGCTGGTGCTGCTGGGACTGATCATGTGTGTAAGCCTGGCAGGCAATGCCATCTTGTCCCTGCTGGTGCTCAAGGAGCGTGCCTTGCACAAGGCTCCTTACTACTTTCTGCTGGACCTGTGCCTAGCTGATGGCATACGCTCTGCCATCTGCTTCCCCTTTGTACTGGCTTCTGTGCGCCATGGCTCCTCATGGACCTTCAGTGCACTCAGTTGTAAGATTGTGGCCTTCATGGCTGTGCTCTTTTGCTTCCATGCGGCCTTCATGCTGTTCTGCATCAGCGTCACCCGCTACATGGCCATCGCCCACCACCGCTTCTATGCCAAGCGCATGACACTCTGGACATGCGCAGCTGTCATCTGCATGGCCTGGACCTTGTCTGTGGCCATGGCTTTCCCACCTGTCTTTGATGTGGGCACCTACAAGTTTATCAGAGAGGAAGACCAGTGCATCTTTGAGCATCGCTACTTCAAAGCAAATGACACACTGGGCTTTATGCTTATGTTGGCTGTGCTCATGGCAGCCACACATGCTGTCTATGGCAAGCTGCTACTCTTCGAGTACCGTCACCGCAAGATGAAGCCAGTGCAGATGGTGCCAGCCATCAGCCAAAACTGGACATTCCATGGCCCTGGGGCTACCGGCCAGGCTGCTGCCAACTGGATCGCTGGCTTTGGCCGTGGGCCCATGCCACCAACTCTGCTGGGTATCCGGCAGAATGGGCATGCAGCTAGCCGGCGGCTACTGGGCATGGACGAGGTCAAGGGTGAAAAGCAGTTGGGCCGAATGTTCTACGCGATTACACTGCTCTTCCTGCTCCTCTGGTCGCCATACATCGTGGCCTGCTACTGGCGAGTGTTTGTGAAAGCCTGCGCTGTGCCCCACCGCTACCTGGCCACTGCTGTTTGGATGAGCTTCGCCCAGGCTGCCGTCAACCCAATCGTCTGCTTCCTGCTTAACAAGGACCTCAAGAAGTGCCTGAGGACTCATGCCCCTTGCTGGGGCACAGGGGGTGCCCCAGCTCCCAGGGAACCCTACTGTGTCATGTGAAGCAAGCCAGTAGGTGATAGGCAGGGGGAAAGTTGTGATCACCATACTGGGGCCAACAGCAGGGGAAGAGTGGGACCCACACAGAAGCCTTCTTTTTTAAGCTTCAGCCCAGGCTCTCAAACCATCCATAACTGAGGCATTTTGCAAACACCTCCCTAGGGGTGGAAACTGGGTGAGGAATTGGGAAAGAGGCATTTCTAGTTTTGTGGGGCTTGTCCCACAGCCTCCTCCACTTCTACAATCTCTTTCCCATGCCTCCCTGCCTCCTTATCCTTCTCCCTTCTCCTCTTTCTAAAGTGAGTAGTTCAGTAAAACAAACAAACTGAAAATGCAGGGTTTTTAATAACAAGAGCTGAGGAAACAAGCTTTCTTGCTTAAAAGTCACCCCCCCTTTTGACATTGTCAAGAAATGGAAGTTTTCTCCTGTAAAATAGATTTCCAGAGATCTTATTGCCCCCCGGGTTCCCATTCACCCTCCCCTTCAGAGTCCCTTAGCAAGACTTGGATGTTTAGGAAATACTGACTTAAGGCTTCACACAAGAGGGACCAAATGGGGTCCTGCCCTCCTGGGGAGCAAGGACGTTTAAATTGCTACGTTGTGTGCAATGTTGTTTTTGGCTTAACCTTGATCCCAAGCCTGGTCTCCTTATCCCTCCCTATCGTGTCCAGACTTTGCTGGTGTTTCTGGAGGCTCTGTTTGAGAAGCCAAGAGCGTACAAAGAAGGGCCTCCATGATGTGCCCAGGCTAGATGAAGAGTCAAATGGTAGATGAGCTCCTCAACCAAAATCCAAATTTAGCTACACTCTCTCGAGCTTTCTCTTGGATCCCCACCCTTTCTTCCTAGGACTATGCATTCTGCTTGTCCCCACCAGGGATGATGTGGATACATGCCGGCGGGGAAGTCACCCATGGAAGTAGAGGGAGATGGTTGAACTCCCCAGAGTGGCTGGATTCCAGAGCCTGGGGTCAGAGCTAAATTCAACCCCACAATTGTTTCTTGGGCTCACACTATTCTTCTGGAAACAAAACTTCTTTGGGAGCCTTGGTAACCAATAGTGATACAAACTTCAAGGTACCCGGGAATTGGGTCCAATCCTGCCTGACCTCTTTTTGTCCCTTCTAGATCTCCCAGGCCTTGAGCCCCTTCCTTAGCTGTCCTTCCATGCCACAAACATCCTTCCCTGTAGTTTTCCCTCCCTCCACCCTTACCTATACCCAAAGTGGAGCAAACTATACCCAATTCCACAGGTGGAAGGTCCCAAGCCTCTTTTCCACAGACAGAGACCACCCTGGACTTAGTGACTTCAAGGCCAGTTCCATAGACTGGTGAGCCAAGCTGGAACTCTGCCTAAGTTTGGGGCTGTGATCTCCTCATCCCCTTTCTTTCCTTAGAAACTCCTATCCTAAACTCCAACCCTACCCCCAAGATAGCCCGTGAACTGAGGAAGCTTTGACCCAAAAGCAATGAAGGAGGTGCTCTAGACAGAAAAGATATTGGTGACCCTGGCTGTGGAGAGGCCCTGGAAAAGCAGGCCAGAGTAGCTGAGAGGCTGGAAATGTGTTGTGGGTGGGGCTGTACTCTCAGTGATGATGACAGGAATGCCTTTCTGAGGGCAGGGGTGGAAAGAGCAAGGTGGGAGGGCACATAGGGTAGATTCAGGAGGCTTTTCCTCCATTTCCTTTTTCTAACTGCCTGGCTTCATCATTGGATTTTGTAAATGGAAAAACTGAAATGAACAATGTTATATTGGATGTTTTCTCTTTCTCTCTCTCTCCCTCTCTTTCCCTTCCTCCTCCCCCCCCCCTCTCTCTCGTGTGTCTATGTGTCTGTGTCTGTGTGTCCTATCTGTGTATGATCACGTGTGGGGAGGTATGATTAAGTGAGACAGTATGTGTCTGTGTGACTTTGTGTGAATAGGAAACCCTGAGGAAAACTTGCCTGCTACACATATATAAGCAAATACCTATATGTGAGGAAATAGAGTACACACACGTGTACACACATACACACAGAGAGACACAGGAAGAGAGGAGACACAGGAAGGAGAGGAGACAAAACTTAGTATGTGCCTGCAGCAGGAAATAGAGTGCTTAGGAAATGAACCTGAAAAGTTTTATGTATGTATGTGTCAAGAGGGTCAACTCCCATCTCATAAGATTGCCTTCCCTTGGCCCAGCTTCTGAGCACCAGGTGAGGAGAGAATAGTTTAGAACCTCATCTCTTCCGAATGTCTGGAGATTTAGCCCCCACCCCAAAATTCAAATAAGGTATTTCTGAAATTGGACCACCATGGAAATAGGAACTGGGAATGGGGGTGTCAAACATGGAGGTAATGAGGTTAAGAGATGGTCCCCTGCAATGTAATGGCTTTTAGAGGAACTGCTCCTGAACTGGGAGTTCTTCTTAAGGTTCCACTGTATCCAGCTGGGACTTTGTTCAGCTTTGACTAAATTCAGAAGGAAGGATGACATGGCGAAAAAGCCCAAGTCTGGAGGTCTACCCAGCTGGCCTACTCCCTAGGCGCTCAATTCATTTACTATTTATTTATTTATTCCTTCAGTTGCACAGAATTGAGCTGACCATATTCCTCAATTCTCGGCGCACTATATCATCATCGGTCCATGCAAGGTCCTTTTATTATTGTTTGTCCCCTTCATCACCCATCCCCGATCCCATCTTTCCCCACCCCACACAGGCACCACTCTTCTGTACTTAACGTGTGTCCTTCCAAACCACCGTTCATGCGTTTATTTACTTAGGTGTATCTGTGGAAAATATATGGTATCGATGTTTTAATTTACATAAACAGTATTGTACTATAAATCTTGTTCTGTTTCTTTTTTCACTCAACATTCTGTTTTGGAGAGATCCAGCCATGTTGCTATACATAGATCAAATTCATTCTAGTAGTCCATCTAAAACATATATCACATTTTATCCATTCTCCTGGTAATGGATTCCTAGGTTCCTTCCCTCTGCTACCACAGCAAGGCTGCAATGGGCAATTATCTCCTCTCCTCAGGAATGCCTAACTTAAAGGAAAACAACCTCAGAGAGGGGCAGTGATTTGGCTAGCGTCACAGTGGTCGATAGAACCAAAGCCAAAACTCCACCATCATGCCTCCTCAAAGACCAGCTATCTCTGGTCATAAATAAAATAAAATAAAACCTTAGGGTATGATTAATAGCATCATTCACTTAGGAAAGGCTGGGAGGAGAAATACTGCGTAGACAAAGAGTTTTAAAGTTCTAGAAAAATCTAGCAGATTAGTTGAATCGCAATCAATTTTTATGACGCAGAGGAAGTTACTTCTTTGCGTCTGTGATTATTTCTGGAGCCATTTTGCAGAGATGGAAAAAGCCATATCAAAACCTGACCACCAAACCAAAGACCTCAGATACTTAAATTGCTAGTACATCAAAGCAACCTGCATCTGAGGGGCTACAGCACTTACCCCCCGCCCCCCCCCCCCCCCCCGCCGGTTCCCGGCGCCACGAGCTGGTGGGGGAAGGGGCGGATTTTTAAGAAGTGCGTAGTTGATCTGGAGAGCGGGGCGGGGAGAACCATAGCGAGGCTCTCTGATTTCATTGGAGCACATCTCGTTCCCTGGTACTTGCGCACTCCCAGCCACCCGCCCCCGGTCTAGTCTTTTGGTCTTCCGAATCGCTGGTACTTTTCCCATTGGATAAAACACTGCAAGAACTAGGGTGAGGGGTTTCTTCCCCTAGCTTTCCTCACAGCCAATCGCCCTGCAGTTTTCCTCTCATCGCTGAGGCAGTCAGCCTGATGATTGGTGGGAGCGAAAGGAGCCAATTAGAAAGCGATGATGTGTAGTGTTGGCAAGCGGATTGCGTGAGAGAAGGCAGGGGTTGAGGGAACGCTAATGCCTCCTCCGAGGCCTGCAGCCAATGGTGGGCAGAACAGACGCCTTGTCACGAAGTGGGCGGGGCCTCGGCGACTGGCGCTGTGGGAGGGCACGTCAGAGCGAGGTGGTGCGCAGAGCTGGTCGCGTGAGGTGTGGCGGCTCCGCTTCAAGTGCGACTGGTCGCGTCGGCCTCGTCTGAGAGCAGAGAAGAGCCCGTGCGATTCTCTGAGCTTTGAGAGCGGCCACCATGGACCGCCCGGATGAGGGGCCTCCGGCCAAGACCCCCCGCCTGAGCATCTCGGAATCCTGTCAGCGCGACCTGCCGCCCCCGCCACCCCCGCCGCTCCTGCGACTGCCCCTGCCTCCACCCCAGCAGCGTCCGAGACCCCTGGAAGAAACCGAGGCTGCACAGGTGCTGGCTGACATGAGGGGGGTGGGCCCCACGGTGCCCCCACCACTGCCCTATGTCATTCTCGAGGAGGGAGGGATCCGCGCGTATTTCACCCTGGATACTGAGAGTCCCGGCTGGGATCCTGCAGTGGAATCAGGATTCGGGGAGCCCCCTCCCACAGGGATCATGGAAACACTCCCCTCTTCAGAAACCTCGGGGGGAAGCGTGGAAATTGACTTTCAGGTTGCAGAGCCCAGCAGCCTTGCTGGAGAGAAGGCCCTAGAAACCTGTAGCTTAGGGGGGTGGGGGCCCCAGATGTTAGTAGGTCCAAAGAGGAAGGAAGAGGCTATCATCATAGTGGAAGATGAGGATGAGGATGAAAAGGAAAGTATGAGGAGGCGGCTGCGATGGCGCAGGAGGAGGAGGAGGAAGCAGAGGATGGTGAAGGAGAGCCGAGAGAGGAGTGCCCAGAGGATGGAAAGCATACTGCGGGCCCTGGAGAGCATTCAGATGGACCTGGAGGCGGTGAACATCAAGGCAGGCAAGGCCTTCCTGCGTCTCAAGCGCAAATTCATCCAGATGCGAAGACCCTTTTTGGAGCGCAGAGACCTCATCATCCAGCACATTCCAGGCTTCTGGGTCAAAGCAGTATCCTTCTCATCGATATTCATGGGCCAGAAGCCCATGATTGAAGGGGAGATGTGCAGAAGAGAAACAAGGGGTGTGGGGGAGGGTCGGAGATGGGAATGAATCTCCATTAGAAGATTCTAGATTGAGTGGGATGGCAAGAGGACAAAATAGAATAAAAACTGGACTGCAGATAGGAAAAGGGTAGCATCGTAACATTAAAGAAAATGGATCACAGACAGTAAAAGAGGGGGGGGGTGACAGAGAAGACACATAACTGGTAAACAGGATCACAGATAGTGGAAGGGGGGGGGATACAGGTAATGAACTGACCATTGGGAGGGAGGGCAAATGAACTTCATGAAAAGTGCTGAAATCACAAAAGGCTCTGTACGCACGAGTCTCTGCTTAGATATATAGAGACCTCAAAGCTGTCCACAGTACCTCCCTTAGAGGGGAGAGGGTAGAACACCTGAAGAATCAGAAGACCACTTTGATGTGGAGGTCAAGTGGTTAAATGAAAGAAAAGGTAGAACAGGAAGAATCCAATCTACTATTGGTGACTGTTGAGCTCACCCCCAGGAAACATATATATATATATATATATATATATATATATATATATCATATTTGAAATGCATAGGTTCACCATTTTAATAGAATTTATTTAGAAATACTTGGCCCATGATGCAAAGTGTCACATGATCACAGGCCCTCAGCAATTTCCATACCTAAATGTGAGGCAACAGGGCGTAAGCATACCAACCACCAGAACCGTTTATCTATCGTGTGCATACTGACCATCAACCCCTGTCCATGTAACATGTAAATACAGGTTCTTGGTAACCAGATACATTATTACTTAGACCTGGGCTTTCAGCTCCCAGACACAGCATTTTGTGAACATAAGCACCTGTCACCAAGAGGCACGGATCACATGAACATGGTCAGAGAGCCTTAGCATCCAGACACGCAGCAAATCTGAACCGTGGCAGCCTAGCACTGAGGCTGAGCATTGCATAACCACTCATTTACTCCACATTTGTCACTCGGACACAGAAGGAACCCTCCTGCTCCGACCCGTTTTGCTCTGTCCTCTTTCATATTGAACAGTAAATCCTTGACCTAAACTGCTCCACTCATTAGTTCCTCAACCACCCCAAAATTTCAATCTTGATCAACCAACGTGATGAAGACATTTTCCGCTACTTGACCAATCTTCAGGTCAGACCAAGGAGGAAAGCCAAGGATCCTTAGAGGTGAGGGGGGGTGGGAAGGGCCACGGAAGGGATACATACCACCATTACCCCCACCCTGAGCAGGTACAGGATCTCAGACATATCTCCATGGGCTACAAGATGAAGCTGTACTTCCAGACCAACCCATACTTTACAAACATGGTGATCGTCAAGGAGTTCCAGCGCAATCGCTCAGGTAAGCGTCAGTCCCAGAATAAATCAGTGGCCCCCATCTTATCATTTCTACTCTCTTCTTCATCTCTTCCTCTTTTTCTAGGCCGGCTGGTGTCTCATTCTACCCCAATACGTTGGCACCGAGGCCAGGAACCCCGGGCCTATAATCGCAGGAGCTATGACACCAGAGAAAGCTTCTTCAACTGGTTTTCCAACCACAGCCTCCCTGAAGCTGACAGAATTGCTGAGGTGAGGCCCCCTTCTGGCATTGCCAAGGAAAGCCTTGCAGACTTGCCTCTGGGTGCCTGAGAAATTGGGGGTGAGTTCTAGGGCTTATACTCATGGCTCTTTTCTCTTTTCCCCCGGCTCTTAACAGATTATCAAGAATGACCTATGGGTTAACCCAGTACGCTACTACATGAGAGGAATTGGCTACAGGACAAGCAGAAAGAAGTATGAAAGAAGGCACAGGTGATTCAAGAATTGGTGCCTGAGAGGGTTTTTTTGTTTGTTTGTTTTTAATGGGGCAGAGACTAAGCTAGTATCACACAGGATTTAGAGAAGTGCAAGGGACCATTGAGATAATCTAATGCATTGTTTGCAAATGAGCAATCATGCCTGAGGTTACATAATCAGAAGTGGCAATGGGACTTTCCCCCATTCTTAGAAGCCCTAGTACCCTACTGCCTTCCCAGTTTCTCCCATTAACCCTATACTCAGCTTCAAACTTCCCTACAGGAAATTCAGGAATGCATATGAAATGGTGATCATGGAAGACATTCATCACCCTTATGCCACTGAAGGCATTCTCAGTGAAATCTCAGAAATTGATGAGATCACTGACAGTGAGACCATTCATGACATCAAGATCTCTGACTTCATGGAGACCACCGACTACTTTGAGACCACTGATAATGAGGTAACTGACGTCAATGAGAACCTGTGTGACAGCGAGAACCCTGACCGTAATGAGGGCCCCAACAATAAGATCTTTTACAACAAAGAGAGCAATGCTGCAAGTACAGATGACAGCAGTGAGACCCCAGAAGAAAAGAGCACCTATGACAGTGAGGATTCCAACATTGAGAAAGCTGATGGTGACAACGACAGCCTAGGTGACAATCAGCAGGGTAATAATATCCAAGAGAGCAGTGATAGTGACAATGGAGATGAGGGCAGTGATGATGAAGATAATGATGGTAATGAAGGTGACAGTGAGGGCAGTGATGATGATGGCAATGAGGGTGACAACGAGGGCAGTGATGATGATGACAGGGACATTAAGTACTATAAGAACGGCACTGAAGTCTTTGATAAGACTCTGGAGAACAGCACCAACCAGGATGGCTATGAGGAGGAGGTCGAAATCATCTCTGAAGAATCAATGCAGGAAGAAGAGGAGGAGGCCCGTGAGGAAGGTGAGCTAGACCCCTCCCCCTTCCTCTCTCTTCTGAGAATGCCCAGGCTTCTTTGGGCAACTAGTGGTTACGTAAACAGAATGTATGTTCTCTACACTCAGAG